GGGACCCCGAGGACCATCTCTTAGCACCAGACACAGGGGCTTTGGGGACGCACTTGCTGGGGTGTTTTATTCGTGAGAAACTTCCCACCTCTGCCCTCTTTTCCCAGCCTGAACCCTGTCCTCCAGTCCTTTTTTGATCTCATTCAGACCTTCAGTCTTCAATATTCACCTGTTCTCAGGTGGCAGACATTGGGTACTTCTGGGGAGGACAGGGCCCAGGTTGTGGCCATGGGATGGTGAAGAGGTGTGACTCAGAAGAGCACTGGAACTCTGGACTTATTCATGAAAAGTTTAAAAGCGGGGAATCAACTATTCAGAAAACATAGGGGTCGGCTTTCCATTTCAATTTTAAGAATATGGGGTTTTGCATCTATCACCAAACGAATCTTTCTCAGTTGTGTTCTAACAGCTATGAAGTTTTTCCCCAAGTGAAGGTGGAAGGCAAGGTATCCACAGGTACAGCCCCCCCACCTTGAACTCTTGTCTTTGTTTCTCGTATCTATATGTACACACAAGCGCGCGCACACACACACACACACAGAGACTATGGTCATCACTAAGGAAAATCAAAGTGAATGAATTGAAAATTCTCCATGTATCATGGTGAAGTACAAGTTCTTTAGAAAAAAAAATATGAAACTTAAAAATATCCCCAGATATAGGCCACATGCACAAAAGTTTTCTGGGATCCACAATAATTTCATCAATCATTTCTTTCAGAACAAAGGGATCCCGAAACAAAAAAGAACCACTGCCTTCCTTAATCAAGTGAAAAATCATACAGGCAGCCAGTACCATAAGTATTGATAAATTACCTTCCTAAAGACTGACCCTGCCTTTTTCATCAACTGAGAACACTGGTTTTAAAAGGTTGCAGTGGGGCGGGGCAGAGCTCTGTGGAGAAGCTCGCCCTTGACTGCACATCAAGATCTCACAGGGCTGGAAGCCCGTGAAGGCTGACAGTGTGGGAAACCTGCAGCTCCTCCCTCTCAGCACTAGAGGGCACTCTTCAGAGAGGAAAACTGCGAGTGCACGAACCACGGAAAACCTTCCACCATCAAAACTCTCACACTGTAAAGAACCCCTATTTCTGTAAAATTTATGCAGGAAAGTCTTCAAGCTGAGATCTCCTAGTATTGGTTAACAAAAAGCCACGCAGAACCTTTCCTTTCTTCACAAAGAACAGAGGGCTAACATAAAAAGGTATCACCAAATGCGAGGAGTCGCTTCTGGATTCATCGGCAATCCTTATTCAAAGGATTGTCACTAATTAAGGACACCAATGGGGAAGGGTTTGCTGAAAAATGTTTTGAATAAAAGTCTGAACTAGAAAAAGGCATGACATTAGGGGAACATACATGCATTGTCACTATAATTTGGTTAACATTTTAATTCACTCAACAGTTCTGAACGCCTACTATGGCTCAGGCACCACGTTATGGCACTGGGTTTACAGAGGGAGTCTGAAATGGACAGGCGTTTTTAGCCTACACCTAGCATGTTGACTGACCAGCAGGGAACCAGAGCTTGTTCTTTTCCTTCTCAGTCTATGCATTTTATTATTTAAATCAAGCTGTTGGTCCATAGCCTGTTCTTTAGGCTCCTGTGTTGAAGGACTGGCCCCAGCTGATAGTGGTGGCGGAACTTAATTTAGCAGATGGGGCTGGTGGAAGGAGATTAGGTCACCGGTGGCATGCCCTTGCAGGGACACTGGGACCTTAGGCCCCGGGGCCAGTCGAGGTGAGCAACTTCACTCCACAAGCTCCCCTCACGATGCGCTGCCTCGCCTCAAGTGAGGTGGGCTGAGGCCTCTGAAATCACAAGCCAAAATAAACTTTTCCCCTTCGAATTGTGTCACCTCGATGGGAAGTTAACTGAATCTAGATCCAGAAATCTACCTCATATTTGATGTGTATATTTGATCACAGAGTATTAAGCAACCAGTGTTTTAAAATAGAGCCAAGTGAATGAACAGAAAAGTGACACAATTGTTAATACAAAAAACAAAACATACAAAACACACATTGAAACTTCCAGATGCTTACAAAAAATTACTTTAACTGGGTTTGCTGCAGGACTACACAAAAAGGCGTACTTTTTTTATAAAAAGTATGTTACCATCAAGTTACACAGGGTGTTTCCCCTGACTGGCAGGGAGGGGTTAGCTCCTGAGATCATGGCATAAAATTTTTCCTCCCCATTCACAGGAGTAAATGATGTCACAAAAGGTGGGCATTTTATTGCTGGCACACTTCTCTACCCCACAAGTTTTAACACTGTTTACTTCCAATCTCTATTTTCACCCGCACTGACTTTTACCTGCTGACAGCATGAACCCAATACCAAAAGGGAAGGAAGATGGGGTAGGGCAAGGCACAAGAATCCTAGGAAACAAAGAACAGAACTTCTAGAAATAAAAATGTCCCCTCAGATGGGTGGATAGGCCAGGAAAGAAAATTCCCCAAACTTCTTTTTCAGCAAGTATTTCAGGAAGGTCAACTCAAGTTTGACTTTTAAAGGAAGAGCTTTTCTTTTTCTTCAACATTTTTAAAATACTGAAGCTTTAATATCAGAAACTTTAATTTTTTTATACATCTTTATTCTTCAAATTTCATGTCAAGTTACACATAAATAGTCCATACCAATATAACTATGGGGCTTCTTTATGATGCACTTTCTTAGGCAGAAAACACCAGTAACTAAGAATACACTGGAAATGAACTCAGAGTGAATAACAAGTATAGAAAGGATGCATTACATTTCAGTGTGGTCCAGTATGTACACTGTTTAAAAGTGGATCCCCCTTTAAAACATCACAGGTGTACATAAATTGTCTTACAAAAGGAACCCACACATCAGATTTTTTCCAAAAAAGTTTTAAAGTTGTATCATAGGGACTAATTGTTTAAAAACCTGTGAAACCTTGAGTAGTGTTAGTAGCAAACAAAGTTATTCCCAGTTCATTCATTTTTAAACATGGCTGAAAATTTATAAGAATGGAGAACATCATGGATATCAACTCCACGACTTAAAAACAAGGTAGTATTTAAAAAGTAGATACCACTTCCAGTTTTACTGTCTGTTAAACAACAACAACAACAAAAAAAAAAAAACCTTTCTAATTCAATTTGTTAAAAAAAAAATGCCAACGGGCATGGGGTGGGGAGGTGGCCACCAGTCTAGTGTGCTATAAACTGCTAAACTTACTTGGACAGAAACGTCTATAGATTCTTCATATAGTTTATTTCCAGAAAACAATAGTTCTGAAGCAACATTCTTCTAGGATTCATACTGTATTTTTATATATGCATATAAATTTAGCAGTTTATTTGAAATTCCTTAAAGTTCTCCTCCTCAAACATCAACTGGTCATACCAGTCTTTCTCATAATTGTTGAATGGATGTGGTTTTTGTTTTTTCTCATTGGTCAACCTTTTCTCCGTGAAAGGGAGTATTGAAATAATTGGATTTTTCAAGTCATTAAAGATGGTTTGAGTTAGAGAATAATTTGTTTGAAAGGGGATTCTACTTCATTTCCTGTTCTCCTGTGACATCTGACCCTGCTATCTGACATTTTTAAGACTGTGAATTATAAATGTTAATAATGAGAAAACAAATGGAACTTGATATGGATTAAAACAGCCTCATTAGATGTTTCTGAAAAGAAATAATTTTTATTCTGAATCAGTGATAAGCTACCTATTCAACTGGTATTATTTCATGTCAATGAATATCGTTCCTTTAAAGCATTAAAGCTTTCATTCTAAGTAAATACAACCTTTTAATCATTTGAACAATCATTTATATTCTAAAGACAAAGCATCAGGAACAAACGCTTCTATCTACCCTGGACTAATGTTTAGATCACAGCATCCTGATAGAGAAGTTCCATGTATTTTTTCATATTTTTATTTTTTTGGCATTTCCCTAAACATTATTAAAATTTAAACTATGACAAGAAAAAAGCATCCAAAACACAATACAATAACACAACAATACGAGAAAAGTTGAAAACAAAACACTGTATTGCATTGTCTTCAGATACATTGTTTTTTATGTAACCCAAAACCACCAGGTCTTAGCTGCTCTCAACATTCCCACTACTGGATGAACAGATTTATGTTCATATTTTTTTTCTTTCTTTCCTTTTTTGCCTTTTATTGCCTAAAGTAACAGAATCAAGAAAATAGTTGGTCTGACATGAAAAATGCAGTGCCTATGACTTTTTAAATCCTAATTTGAGCATATCTTAAATGATGCAATATTATTTATATCTAGAATAAGACAAGCAATATATATGAAAGACTTACTACATACCATATAAGCAATGTTTTAATCACGGCTTCTACACTGACATGAAAATCTACAAATCAAATATTAAATCTCCTCATTATAAAGCTAAATTCTCTTGTATCCAAAATTTCTCTTCGTGAGAATGCTACTAGAAGCAGCATTCTTAATTACTTCATTTTCTAGTATAGAAAGAAAAGGTGCTTTTTAATATAAGCTACCACCCCTGAATATATGTCTTTCTCTCCCCTCTCTCTCCCTCTCTCTCTCTCTCTCACACACACACACACACACACACACACCCCAGTGCAAACTACTCTAAAAATTCTAATTTTAAAATTAAGTATTAAAAGTGGAAGAGTTTGGAGTAGAATAATTTCCACAACTGATGTGTTCATACAGACAAGTAAATGTACATATGATTAAATAAAGAATAACTTTTTATACTTTGTTCTTAAAATTCTACCCTATCTTTCAGAATTGCTCCGATTTAATTTTGGATATTTTCCTAATTTCAATAGCTAAACAGAAAACAGCGAACATCTTGAGAGTGACCTACTGGGACCAATCACCAACTGGTGTGGCACTGGCTGTTCTGTCCCCTGTACTGTTAAATCCATCCCTTCTCTGCTATCTGTGTCATGCAATACCAACCGAACTACATTTATTCCTAATAAAAAATATATAAAGAAGACACTGTCAGGCATATATTCACAAGTTCTCAATTTCTTAAAACATAAGTATGGGTATATTTATTTCTCTCAAATGCATACAAGACAATAATTACACAGCAACAAATCTTTTGTTCAACAATGATTTGATTCATAGCATTTGAAATTTACATAATTTCACAATGATACCCTTGTATTTTTAAATACAATAAGTAAAAAAGCCCCCCATAACCAATTCTTATTATTTCCTATTTATCCTTCTATACATCCAAACTTTAAAAAGTTACAAACTGAACATTATACAGAACATATAAATCATGTTTAAAAACTTGAGGTTTTTAAAATCACTTCTTCCCCAATCTGATTCAGAAAAATTCTCCTACTGACAAGTACAATTGTAGGTGGTAAACTGGAGGAGGGAGAAAGAAAGAAGAGACAGACACAAGTTTGCTGTCTTAACATTTTACTAATCTTGTCAGTTAAAAAATGGTGATGTCATGAGAAAGAACAGTTTAGGCTTAATATGAGGAATGGAGTTTGCCTCACAATTTGAGACAGGCATTTCAAGTATTTTCCTATTTGATCTGAGCTCACTGTAGCAAACTGACGCCAAAAGGGAATAATTACTTTCTTCCATACATTCGTTCAATGTCCGCCTGGTAATGTGTTTTAAGCTCTTTGCGTTTCAACTTGAAGGCATCTGTCACCAAACCCGTTTCAGGGGTCCATGGTTCAGGGCTCAAACGAATTTTTACTGGAATTTCAAATTTTTCCAGACTCGCTGAGATGATGAAGGGGAAAAAAAAGACATTAAGGCTGTATAATTAAAATTCTTAACAAATAGTATAACTTCCCCAGTGGGGTACCCACCAAAATGCCCAACCATTTAGCCCATGAATCTTTGTTGTGGAGAATGCAGGAGGTGGGACCCGAGCCCAAGGGAGTGGATGCTTGAGTATCTGTCTTGGGGAACTCCATCCTGTCTCCAAACCCTTGTCTCCCTTCCCTCTGCGTTTCCCAGTTGGCATGAGATGAGCAATTTTCCTTCACCACACCCTTCTGCATGATGTTCTGCTTCATCACAAACCCAAAGGAAAAGGAGCTGGCTAACAATGGACTAAAACTAAAAGTCAAAATAAATCTTTCCCTCTTTAAAGTTGTTTTTCTCAGGTATTTTCTCACAGCGACAAAAAGCTAACTAGCAAATACACAAACACAATTTTAAAAAGAGGTGATATGAACCCCATGGTGCATACCCTGGCAATTCAGGAGGCTGAGACAGGAGTATCCCAAGTTAGGGGCCAGCCTCAGCAACTTAGCGAGACACTCTCAAAATTTTAAAAAAGGGCTGAGGATTTAGTTCAGTGGTAAAGCTCTCCTAGGTTATATCCCTAGCGCCAAAAAAAAAAAAAAAAAAAGTGAGTAGTATTTAAGTAACAACATCAAGGGAGAAGCAGGAATATAAAGTAGAGTTTTATGAGATTGGAGGTAAGTTAATATCAACATAGTTCAAGACATTTTAAGTAACTGCACTGGAAAAGAAAACAACAGAAGAAGACAGAAAAGGTAAATGTTATAAGACATACAGAACACAGATAACAAAAATAGCAACAGTTAAGTCTGTTCAGATCAGTAATTACCCTTAATCTAAATAGATTAAATGTCCAATTGAAGACATGAAATCACCAAATGGATCTCTCTCTCTCTCTCTCTCTCTCTCTCTCTCTCTCTCTCTCTCACACACACACACACACACACTCAAAAGCTGTCAATAAGAAACTTACTTTAACTGCAAACACAAACCTGGGCTATAAAATGAAAGGATAGAGAAAGATACATGATGGAAATAGGACCTGAAAAGCAAAGGGATAGCCATACTTACATCAGATAACACAAGAGATAACACTAAGATAACACAAGACCAAAGGGCATTATATAATGATAAAAAGGTCAGTTCTCAAAGGAAGATGTAAGAAATGTATATTTTTCTCAATTATACATGAAACACTCTTTAAGACAACCACAGGTTAGGCCACAAAACAAGTCTTAACAGATTTAAGATGACTGAAATTATATAAAACATCTTGTCCAACCACAATGAAATGAAATTAGAAATCAACAGCAGTTGGAAAAATATATAATTATATGGAAATTTAAAAAAGAATCTCAAATCAACCACCTGACTTTACAATTCAAAGAACTACAAAAAAAAAGAACCTAAATACTAAAATGCAATTCAAAATCACAATACCCTGTCCTCCCTATTAGAATGGCAAGTGTTAGTGAGGATGTGAAGAAAGGGAAATCTTATACACATTGTCAGGAATGTAAATTAGTAGTCATAATCAGATGCTTCAAAAAAATTAATAAAGCTACCATATGATCAACAATCCCATTTCTAGATATAGTTCCAAAAAAATTCAAGGAGATATTTGAATACCCATTTTCATCACTCTATTATTCACAATAAGCCAAGAGGTGGAAGTAACCCAAATATCCACTGAGAGATGAATGAATGGATAAGGAAAAATGTAGTATATACACACAATGGAACATGATAAGCCTTACAAAGGAGGGAAATCCTGCTCCATGCCATTACACGGATAAATCTTGAAGACATCCTGCCAAGCAAAATAAGCCAGAAGCCAAAGAACAAATAGTCTACGATTCCATTCATGAAAGTCAAGTAGCCAAAATTATAAAAACAGAAAATAGGAAGGTGTTGCCAAGGACAGGGGAAGGATAAAAGGAGAATCAATGCTTAGTGTGTACAACGTACCAGTTCTGCAAGAAAGTTCTAGAGATCTGTTGCACAATAATATAAATATATTTAGCATTACAGAATTCTACACTTAAAACTGGTTAAGATGGCCCAAAAAACCAAAGGCTAACATTTTCTCTGATAAGCAGATGCTAATCCATAATGTGGAGTGGTTGGGTGGGGAAGAATGAAGGAACTTTGGATTGTAGGGAGGGCAGCAGGAGGTGTGGGGATAAGAAGGGCAGTGGAATGAGACAGACATTAACACCCTATATACATGTATAATTACACTACTGGGGTGATCTACACCATGTTCAGCCAGAGGAAGGAGAAAATGGGCTCCATTTGTGTACAATGTGTCAAAATGCAGTCTACTGTCATGTATAAGTAATTAGAACAAATAAAAAAATAAAATTTTAAAAAAGGGTTAAAATGGAAATTCAATATTATGATTTTCACTACAAATTTGAAAAAAATAAATGTGCTAAATTAAGGGCACAAGATGCCTTACAAGTAAAAAAACATCTATTAACTCTAGTTGTAAAAGTAAACATGGAGACAGAACACAAGTTTTGACTCTTCAAAGATTAAAAGTATTTCAGGAGATGTTTCCAAGAGGAAATACAAACACATGAGCAAAATCAGGAAGGCACATATCATTAAGACAGAATGGACAGAGTCTGATACTACTGAGATATGGGGAGACTGTAAAGTAATTGCTGGATTATTATTATTATTTTTTTAATTTCAAACCAGTCAGCATTCTCCTCTAGGAACCAACTTAAAATTATCTTCTTCAGTAGGTACTGAAACCACCTGAACCAGTGCTTTAAAAAAAAAAAAAAAAATCACACACAGCAAGACTGCAGGGCAGGCTGGACAAATGAGGACTCTTCAACAGCTATTTCTTTTTCAGTTATGAATATTTTTATTCCCTTATCTATAACATGCTTGAATAAAGTCACAGCACATAAGTTACAGGCTACCAAAGGACATGACTAAAAATCATCCCAGGAATTTGCATCCTCCTCTGGGAAAGGATTAGTGTTTTTGGTTGTAAGCAGGATAATTGTATCCTATTAGACAAAAGTCTAAACTTTGTTATTGCCTTTATTTGGAAACTGTGATTTAAGTAGATACCTCTGAATGCTTTGTGATGTTCACTTGTATGTTTCAACTGCCTACACTAAAGTGCCTGGTTATTCAATTAAACACTAATCTAGGGATTGGTGTGAGGATATTTCTTATAGTATAAACAATCTTACTGGGCCTTATTCAATCAGTTTGATGGGCCTTAAGAGCGGAAATGAGACTTCTACAAACAAGAAGAAATTCTGCCTTTCAAAAACAGCTTCAGCTAATGCCTGAAAGTCCAGCCTACCCTTTCTCAAAGTCTGCTCTACACATTTCAGGCTTTGCTTAGGAAGTCCCCACAATCACATAAGCCTATTATTGGCAATACATCACTTAATAGATGTAGATATAGATACAGATATAGATAGATATTATATATAGATAAATGGTTTTCTGTTTAGGAATAAAGATCAATCCCTTCTTTCTATCATATACAAAATCCTATTCAAAATGGATGAGAGCTTAAACTACAAAACTCTTAGAAGAAAAAAGGGGAATGTTTTTGTGACTTCGATTAGGCAATAATTTCTTACATGTGAAACCAAAAGCAAAAGCAAGAAGAGATAAACTGTACAACTACAAATTAAAAACTTTGTGTTTCAAAGAACACCATCAAGAACATAAGAACACAGAAGGCGGACAAATATTTTTGCAAATCATATACCTGATCATCAACTTGCATTTAGAATATGTAAAAGATCCATACCAAATCAGTACTAAAAAGACAAATAGTACCATTAAAAAAGGGAGACAAGATCTGAATAAACACCTTCCAAAGAAGATATACATCAATAATCACATTAAAAGATACTTGACATTAGCCATCAGAGAAATGCCAAACCATAAGAAGATAACACTTAGGATAGCTAGCATTAAAAGAACAAATGATAGCAAGTGTTGATGAGAATGTACAAAAATTGAAACCCTGATAAGCCCATTTGGGAAGGTAAAATAGTACCAACATATTGCAAAATACTGGAAAAAAATATTTTAGAAAATAGTTTTGACTCTTCTATTATTCAAAACAGTTTAAATATAAAGTTAACATATGTCAAATCAATTCCACTCATAGGAATCTATCCAAGAAAAACAGACACATGTTCATACAAAAGCTTGAACCTGCATGTTCATAGCAGCATTTCTCACATCAGCCCAGAGTGGAAACAAAAGAAATGTCCATCAATTGATGAATGTATTAAACAAAATGCGGCATATATCCACTTATAATACAAATATAACAAATATTTATATGACATATAACATTTATGTAATATGTTATATATCTATATATTTATATCAATAAAAGGGAATTAAGTATCATTGATACATACTATAAGGGAGAATGACTGCTAACGGGTATGGGGTCTCTGTGGGGTAATAACAATGTTGTGAAATTGATTGTGGTAATGGTTCTACAACTTAATGAATAAACTAAAAAATATCTTATTACACATATTAATTGGGTGAGCTGTACGGCAGACTAATTATATTTCAAAAACGTTATTATATAAAAATAAGCAAAAAAGTATATTATGCTTAGTTATTAATGTTTGGATATTTCACTTTATTGGGAGATAATATAGGTTTTTAATGAACATCCATTAATTAATTAAATCAATTTAGCATTGGTTCAAAGTTTTCTGCTACCTAAAAATTACTTTCAATCTTGATATACTCTTGAAATAAAGGGCCACAATAACTACTCCTTTTGTCTCAATGCAAATTTACATTTCTCATGATCTTACATAACATATTCAGGTAAACTAAAAATGCATGTTTGTGTTACATTTAATGCTTAACTCAAAAGATACTGCTGTTTTTACCAAATCAACAATTTAGTCTTGGACCAAAAAAAAAAAAGGAGAGAGAGAGAGACAGTATAGGACATATCAATATAGTAAACTGCCAATACATTAACAATGTATACAATTCCAAAAGGAGTTTTAGACCTTTCACTGTGAGCTGGCATGCTTATGAAGCTCAGGAGAGCCTTGAAGAATAGCTAAGTGGAGAAAGGGCCATCCGAGAGAACAAAGGCTACAATGATCACAATATTAAAGAGACATGTACATCAGGTTGGTAGGAGTGGATGATTTGTGTGTACTGTAGGAGAGCTGAAATGGAAACTGGTAAGTATATATTCTTCTATCTAGTAATAGTAGAAATGGTTTCTGAGCAGGAAATGATGTACCCAAACTCCTATAATATGACAGGTTAAACCGATAAGAAAAGCAGTTCTTAAGAGTTAGTTTAACAAAACACTCACCTGAAATAGCAGCTTCTGAAAGCACTTTCAGGACCTCATTTTCCATTTCACTACTGTTACACAGCTCTTCCCAAGTCCCTTTAAGTCCTTTCTTTCGAGCTAGTTCTGTTAGTTCCTTTTGATTTGGCACAACAAATCCAATGACGTAAGAATGGTAGCTGAAATACATAAAGGACAACAACCGAGAAACAAGATAGTATCATGAGTTAAGTGAAGTTACTGATACCTTGATATTTTATAACTAAATCTTTTGTTTTTTTTTTATTAAAATGCATGTGCCAGTACATCTGTAACCCTAAGCAACTCAGGAGGCTGGGGCAAGAGGACCACAAGTTGGAGGCCAGTCTCAGCTACTTAGTAAAATTGTCTCAAGATAAAAAATAAAAATGGGTAGGAGAGTAGCACAGTGGGAAAGCACCCCTGGGTTCAATCCCTAGTATCAAAACAAAACAAAAAAATGCATGTGCCATATTTGGTATGACATACTTTTTTCAAGCAAGAGCCAGTTTTACTGTCTGATTTATAATATATTCTAGGGGAGAGTTTACTATTTAAAAGTTCAATCTGACATTGCATGATAAATTTCAAATATACATAACTAATGTGAATAGTGCTGGATATACCTTTTTGAAAAGAAAATTGCAAATAAATAATTTATCTTAAAAAATCAGTATTTCATAGCAACAGGTAAAACAAACATAAAATCTGACATATATTAGGAACTGTATCTAAAAAAATTTGGTGGCAAATCAAAATAACATCATTACATTCATTTTCTCTTAGTATGAACATCTGTATTCACTGAGGAACTCTGAACTCTGAGTATGCTCAAAGGCAGAGATTTTTTTTGAAGACTTTATAAAATAGTAACTGGAAGAATAGTAACAGCATCAAGAAGAGGAGAACAGTTGTGATAATTAAAGGTAAAATTTTATGATATTTATAAGTAAAATCCAGATCTGTAGTTTCACTAAAGAAAATACTAACTGGCTAATTAAATGGCAGAAGCATTTATAAATCAAAGTACAGCTTGCTCAGTCAGTCAAGTCTTTGCAAATATCCTTTGCAAACACTGTGAAAACAGAAACACTTCCTGTCCCAAACATTTCAAATAAGGGGTATTCAACCTGAAATTCATCCCTAACTTGGGCTATAACACCAAAGTCCATTTCTAAATTGGTTTTTCTGATACCCGATTTTCTTTTTCCAATTATGTCAACAGTTATACCCACAAAATATCTGATCATTATATCACCGGAGAATAATTATGCTGTGCAATACTGTTATGAAAAATGCAATCAAGAGTTCTAATCTGAAATTCTAACACATTTCCCAAGAATGTAGATCTGAGATTTTAACTTTAAATCCCCTTTCCAGCTCTCTGCTATCATCTGGACCATGATGCACAGCTGCAGGTGGGTCATTCCTGGCTCCACTGACAAGCCAGGGCCTAAGCAAGCTCGAGCTGAAAGCAGGGCACTAAGTACTAGCCAGAGGACCACTTGCTGACATTTCTTTACTCCTCTTTCCTCAGGCTGGTTCTGTGAAACTTCCCTAGGCAAAGAGACAGATAATTAACAATATCTAAGCACCCATAAGAAAGGTTTTATTTTATTTTATGCTCTACCACATAGGATCAGCTACAACTGTAAGAAGGAGACTGTTCCCAGAAATCACAGAGGAGGGGAAAGAGTTTTTAGAATAATTTTACAAAGAAGCCCATACAGGTTGAAAATGCTTATGGCACACCCAGTGTTTTCAGTATAAATAGTACAAAGTCTACTTTCTTACCTGTTTGCATATGCACAAATGTTATCTATCAGTGGGAGATTCTTCAAAGCTGCCTCCACTTTCCCAAGAGAAACATATTCTCCTGCCTGCAGTTTTACAAGATCCTTTTTACGATCTGTGCAAAAGGGAGGGAAAAACAATGAGAATATTAATACATGTAAATACCTGCCACTCCCTGAATAATATGCTATCAAATTATTTAACTTTGCTAAATTAAACATTACCAGCTATACTAAAATTAAAAACATAATAAAATTGGGCTCCAACTTTTATAGAATTAAATATTCTTTTAAAGAAAAATAATTAACTTCTATTTAAGGAACCCCATCATGAGGGCTTCAGGTGTATTCTGCTGAATAGGTATGTTCCTGGTATTCATCAATACCAGGAAAAAGAAATGAAATGCCATCAGTAAGCTCTCATTCTGTCTGAAGAAAGGCATAACACAGAAACATAGTATGCCAATACAACAGGTAGTGCTAAGTGTCAAGTCTCTCCAACCTGTAGATTCAGGGTTATTTCTGTAAGTGGAGTCTGAGCTGAGTCTGAAGGGAAGAGTGAGAAGTAGCCAAGTGGAACAGCACTGGCAAAGGCCAGAACCTGGTCAGCTTGTATTATTGCAGGATAGGGGAGAAGACAGGAAAAGAAAGAGGTAGGAGGTGAACAATGGTCATTTGGCAGAGGCACCCTGAACTGAACTTGGAGCAGCCACTGAATGATTTTAAGCAAGAAAGTGATCGGGCAAGGTCTATGGTTAGTAACCATAGAGTATCAGTGAGAAGCACGAAGAAGGGTGGGGACACAAGCAAACAACAGAGAGGAACAGAGTGGCAGAACAGCCTGACCTATGAACATAGCAAGAAGGACAGTGAAAGGAGGAGTGTACTTCTGAAGCACATCTCATAAGCTAACTCTGGGCTATGAAACAGGTATGGAGAGCTGGTTAAAGGGAGAGTCTCACCTCCTTCAAGGCTTCTAGTTAGCATGACCAGCATAGTCATGAACACAAAAAGTCCTAAGAAAAGCCGAGGAAGGTATTTTTCACACCATATGGGCCATAGCACTGGAGCTGTCAGGATTTCCTTCATTTAACTGGGCAAGGTAAGACTAGGTTCAGACAGGAAACCCCTGACCAATAATCTATAGATGTCAAGTAAGTCACAAAAAGGAGCATTCCCTACAGAAGCAGGACAGAATGGTAAAGTCACCTAAGAGTAACTAAAAACACCAATGCTGCAGCTTTTGAGACCTCAAAGTAAAACCTCATAAATCCTCAGTTCCTACTAAAAATGTTTTTATATTCCAGAGATGGCATAGCAGACCACACCAACATTACACAAAGATATACCCCTGCACTGACGGCAGCTTCTCTAAACACAGCCCTCTAGCATAAGCCCAAGTGAACATTCACTTTCAAAAAAAAATCTGATGGCTCACCAATAATCTTCAAACAACCATCAGGGTCAAACTCTCCAATATCTCCAGTACAGAGCCACCTCTGCCCATTTTCATCTTCAAAGAAATCAGCTTTTGTTTTTGCTTCATTTTTGTAGTAACCCATTGTCACATTTTGGCCACCAATAAGAATTTCGCCCCTGGGGTGTGGTTTATCAGTATTAAAGTATCCACCTAACAGAATAATTTAAGAGTTAATTCACCATTTTTATCCTATATGTATCACATGAACATTTAACACTATCAGTTTCCTAATAGGAATAATCCAGAGTTTTCTAAAGTAAACAAGGCAAACATAGAGATTGAATGAGGTGTATCAATATAAAAACCAGGGGCAATATTTCAGTTGCTTAACCCTAAGCATTTATGCTTTTAAGCTCTATTACAAGGGGGAAAAGAATGTAATTAATCTACTACATAAATTACAAATACTACACAGGTAAATGTTTCTATAGTCTTAAATGTCATGCTAATAAAGCAATAAAAGTACTGTCATGAATTAAATAACAGAACAAATCCATGTATAAAACTAAATTACTATAGATGTAGAAGATTTATTCTTACAGAAACTTCAGACTGACTCAAAGCTTAATTTTATTGAACATTATCATTAATTCTGCTAAAAATAATTGGAGCCTTAGAACTGATTTATCTTTACTTTGAATATAAGAAAGGTACATCCCAATAAATCATAGGCAATTTTTACACTTTAATATGATCAAATAAATTTTTAAAAAGTGATTTGTATTTTCAAGAGCAAAAGCAACAAACAAACTTATGTGGATTATAAGAAAATTTCCTTCTGACAAATTCTAAGTTGAAGTCCTCAGGGAAAAGAAAAAAAAAAAAAAAAACACGTAAAACTCCTCAAAGGATTAATTTTATGATTCTGCTTCTATAAAATAATGTTATGATCACTCCTAATTTATTAACATTATGCATTTAGTACATTTCAAGTTTTTGCCATAATCTTACTTGTATTTATGTGATAATAAGCAAAATTAAAACATTTATAATTCTATAGAAACAAGCAAAATAAATGTATCTGACATTTCTGGATAAATGTAACTATTATAAATAACAAAAAAGAGTACCTGTAGGTAATTTTATATTCTAAAATAAGAAAATGAAGTATGCTTCTAATTTCACAATTTAATCTTATAAAAATTAATGCTCTGGTTAAAATGGGTTATTACCTTCTTCCCAGTTCTTTAATTTGATTTCACAGCAAACTAATGGTGCTCCCACTCTGCCAGTATTGTAGTCCCACACTAAGATGCAAAGGGGAAAAAGTTATTTCAGAACAGTAGTTAATGAGTTGATTTTTCTACATTACGAAAAATGAAAAGCTTAGACAGCCCTAAAGCATCCTGAACAGCAAAGCTGCAAACTGCCAGCTGTGAGGCCAACACAGGGGTACTATTTGACCCGTAGAGTGTTTTGCAAACCCCAAATTACTAGACACTATTATGAATTACTACAACAAATTTTCTCCATGAAAATCATCAAATATCAGAAATCAAAGACTGTTATTTATAACATATACTGATACTGATTAATAACACATTAAGCTTAAATCTTAAAATCAGAAATTAAGGATCCACAGAAGAAACCATATGAATGTATTTAGGACTGTTTATTTCGTACAAATGATATTTGTAAGTTACAAAAATATGTAAAATATAGAGAACACAACAAAGACACAGAAATATAAAAAAATCAATGCAAAGTAGACCAGACATAAGAAAGGTGTAATAGAAGCTCTCGTGATAAAGAGGGGGGAAAAACTGCTCAGTTAAGAGGTTTAGCCTCTATCACTATCTAGAAAATGCACAGTAGTTTCTTCTAGGAGTAGAATTCTCTGAAATGAGATTCGCCAGGAACCACTGAAGAGGTAGTAGAAGAGCCCCTCCTCAACCATGACACCATGATAAACTCTGGCATTATATTATCTAGACCTGAATATAATTTCTCTACATACTTAGGAAGGCTCCCATAAACATTTCTGGAATCTGAGTCTTACTACACTTACCCAAACAACTAGGAAAAAAGAAGAAATTTAACAGAAAATTAAATTTCTTCTAGAAGAAATTAAAATTAAAATTTAAATTAAATTTCTTCTAGAAAGAAGAAATTTAATAACTGCTATAAGAAAACTAATGTATACAATACAAGCAACATTTGTTACTAAAGCTTCTTTTCCAGAATGTTGATCATTTTTAATATTATACATCCCATAGTTTAATATTAAAAATTCTTCTAAATGAATTATTGACTACTGATCCACATAATACATCCTAATAAACCAATAGTAATAATCACAGTATCTGGAATTTACCATTATTCTGCTACACAAAAACCTTACTTTCTTTCTTCTTTCATATATTATAAAAAATTAAAAAAGGCCTAAAGCTGTGCCCCAGCCTCCAATGGCACTCAGAGGACATTTCATGGACAACACTGACCTTCTGTAATTGTTCCAGCCCCAGTTGATTCAGTGAGTCCATATCCCTGACCAACAGGACAGCAAAAACAGATATTCATGAATCGCTGTGTGGTTGGAGAAAGCGGAGCACCGCCACACAATAAAAGGCGAATATTTCCACCTAGCAAGCCTCGAACTTTGCGGAAAACAAATCTAAAAAAAATTAATCGGAGAATCAAAGGATTTTAAAGCTGAATGGAATTTTTTCAAATATTTAGATTAACCTCTCAATTTTGTTATATGAGATTTTAAAATTAAGTTACCTATCCAAATTCAGAAGATATCATGACTCACTATTAAATCTTATTTTTAGTATATCATCAACCAGGTAAAAAAGTATGGCTTCCTTTTAAGAAATTTTCAAGTAACATTTGAACTCAAAATTGCCAGATTTAATTTTATAAAGTAATGGAAATCCCTTATGGCCAGAGCAACTTATATCATTTTATACGTATGTGTGAAAATATCTATCATTGTTTACTATATATTAATACTAAACAATCTCACATCTTTATAAAATTTATTAAAGGCAAACTAATTTTTTGCTTTAACTTAATTAGAATTTTATAATTCTATGATACAGCAATCTAATTTTTTTTAAAAAGTTCAGGATAATTGAAGTTTTAAAGTGGTTATTGCTTATTTAAAATCTGGCAAAGTATTTGGTATGAATAAAAAATGCAAACATTTTTTGATATGTTTCTGAAAATGCACGTTAGAGATGGTTTACTACACCTCAGTCAAAAAATGGAGAAGAGGGAGACAGGGATGTAGCTCAGAGTAGAGTGTTTGCCTTGCATGAGCAGCACCCTAGGTTCCATCCCCAGAAATGCATGGGGTGGGGATGGCAGACACTTTGAAAAAGATTAAGACCAAGTGACAATTCATTTGAAAAAGAAAAGATAGATGAACAGACTTCCCATAGCAATTATTTTATCTCACTAAAAATAGGTAATTAAAGTAAGGCAGGGAAAAAACATAAACTTTTAAATAATGTGAAGCATCTTAAAACTGTATTTATATTCCCATAAAAAATAATTTGAATGTAATAGCTTCATATTCTAATTTCTAAACTATTTGATAAGAAAATCATAAATCTACTGAATATAGGCAGGGGTAAAACCTGTCATTTAAAACTTTAAACATGAAATATTAATTATATTTAGTTATCACTTTATATTCATATTGAATTAAATTTTAAAACAAAAATGTGATAAAATTTAAGCATAATATTAAATATAACAAAATTATAAGTGAAAAATTTCAAATTCTTATGAAGGTAAATTTTTAAATAGTCCTTTGACTTTTAAAAATAAATTTATTTCTCACAATTATCATATTAACAACCCTTCACTTACCAAAGGGAATAGGAAGGGAAGATAGAAAGTGGGTGAGAGGGATAGAGAGTAGATGGGCCTTTACTTACCTGTCACATAGTGGAGTACTATGCCCTTTGGAAATCTGTTCCATTTTGTAATTATAGGCCAGAATAAACAGATTCCGTTGAAAACTACTCATTTCATTTACTTTATTCATGACATTTTTGTAGATCCGATCCATGATTTCCTACATGTATGAGTTAATAATGATATCATATCAGCTGCCTCATGTATTTACATAACCACCAATTGCTATTTCTATCAATATTAAGACATTTTCAAAGATGTATTCTATCAAGACAAGAATTTTAAATAGAGTCACAGTTAGCTTAAAAGTGAGATTTCTGCAGATAGTATTTAATAGCAGAAATAGATACACAAATGAATAAGAAAAACAAATGCTTTAAGGCAGGAATATACCATTAGTAATTGTTTATATTGCTTTGCTTGTTTATCTTACTTATTCTTAACTAAAAACTAAATTTATAAAATAAATGAACAACTATTTGAAATATTTTTTAAAATCTCCTAAAATTATCACATAAATATATAGACGTACCACCTATTTCATTCACAAAAGGATCATAGATAGCATTTTTTGTTTTGTTCTTTGGTTTTTGGTTTTCTTTTTAATGCTGCACCCATGAAATTTCCCTTGTCTGAAATGCAATTTGCTTTAATAAAAAAATAATTTTTCCTTTACAATTTTAAGTTACATTAACTTCTAAGTGAACTAAGAATTTAAAGTAGGTTACTACTTAGGAAATTGTAATTATACTCACACAAATTCCAAAACTACTAACCATTTACATTTGATTTTGGAAGAACTATGTAATAATATTGTTCTGAGCATTCAAGTACCCAACACTTCAAAGCAAAATGAGAAAACTACATGAAGCCCACATGAGGAACAGACAGAAAATCGTTGCTGTCCCTTATCTATTATCTTATTCCCAGACCCATTCCACTCTCATATTATAATTGGATTCATGGAACTTCTCAGGTAATTCAAAGTTAGAATAGCTTCTCTGTCACTCTTTTTGGTAACTTGGTCAGACTTTCTGAGGACTCAGGAGGGAATATGTGTAGGTAAATGTGGCCTACCTCAGTGGTAGAGCACTTGCCTGACGTGTGAGGCACTGGGTTTGATCCTCAGTACCACATAAAAATAAATAACAATAAAGGTACCGTGTCTATCTCCAATAAAAATATTTAAAAAGAAAAAAAAAAAGTGGCCTTGTTCCTTCCTCCTATCTCCTACTGCACTTTACTTAAGGTTTCTACTAATCAGCAAATAGGTATCAGAAAAATGATTTTAACAAGAAGCTATTTAAGGGGCTGGGAGTAGAGCGCTTGCCTAGCACGTTCAAAGCCCTGGGTTCAATCCTCAGCACCACATAAAAATAAATAAAAAATAAAGTTTGTTTTTTTTTTTTTAAAGAAGCTATTTAAGTAAATTAACTGACTGTATCAGGTAGAAGCTGAAACTAAATTGAGTATTTAGTAAATAAAAAGATAAAGCAAGAGTAAGTAAATCTATCATAACACTTAAGGCAATATTGATATTCGATATGGAATAAATCCTACATAAGCTGCCTTGTCAAGTGGGGTTGCTGATAGTTCTTTAGTACTCAATATTAAATAATCATCAATTCTTACCGGGACAGCTGCCATCAGTGTTGGTTTCAACATGGATGTATCCCCTTTGCTTCCTTTTTTTATTTTTGAAGACTATGAAACAGAAAGAAAAAGTGATCCTTATTTTAAAAACTCAATGGAATTCTTAGATTTAAAAAGCCTATTGTAAATTTATCCTTTTAATGTACTTATATTCTAAAGAGCAATTAAAAAGAGCTTATTTTTAAATGATTGTCATTCTTCTAATATAGTGTCATACTGACAGGAAAAAATTGCTAAAAATTAATTATTCTAGATAAGTATTTCAAGTTATAGACAGATTTACCTGATCTGCTAAAGTCTGTGGTGAAGAGTAGCCAATGCGGCAGCCGTGAGAAAGACAAACAAGCTCAGCACTTAATTCTAAAACATGGGCCAGGGGCAAATATCCAATGTATACATCTTCCTCTCTAAAAGAAAAGAGAGATATAAAAAGCAAAGTTCAGGTGCATTCTCCCTGCCACAGAAGGCACATGGAAGGGCCATAAAGTATCAGTTTGGGCTCCCTGTTGTTAGAGGAAGAAAAAGAAACACTGAGACAGACAAACAGACATAGAATATTAAGAAAAAAGCACTACAGCCCAACCTAAAACTGAGATGGTGGGTACCCTGGGCAGTGGCTGTTTCCAGTCCTACTTGAAGGCACACACTGAGTGCTACAGACACAAAGTACTAAAACATAGAAAGAGGAGACAGGAGAACAGAAGAAATCCAAGGAGGAGATGGTCTTTAGTGGTTTGCCAACCCAAAGAACTCAAATAGATTTCACAAGTGTCTTCCAGGAATTTTACAGAAAACATGCCTATTCTGGGAGCTAGATATAATTAAGAATAATAATATCTTAACATGTAAGAAAATATGTACATACCTATGTGTATATTTTTCAAGAACTGCCCCCACAACTAAAATCTGAAGGGCAACTGAGGCAAAAATTATAAAGAAAACTGTTGCTCTTAATTTTTTCCTGAAGTATATATAAATATATATAAAAAAGAAAAATTTCTCTCCATCCCCAAGTTCAATCCCACAGTAACTCCATGTGTATGTGTGTGATTTCTATACATAATGGCATCAAAAATATCCATCCACGGCACCAGATCACTCATTACAATACTGATATCATCTAGGATGTTTCCTTTACAGTCCCTCAAACTTCCATCCAGTTTCCTCCATCAGTCTCTTCCCACTTCATTATACCCTACCGTATGCCACTGGAGTCAGTCTTAAAAACATAAATCAGAGACTGTAAATACAGAAACTTAATAAATATTTCCGGGTTAGATTATCTGTTCACCTAAATTGTATTTAGATATAAAAATCACTATGCTTGTAAGGCTCACCTAAATTGTATTTAGATATAAAAATGACTACGTATGTAGGGAAACCATACCAACTGATTAAAATAATTTAAACTAGGGGATTTACAATTATAAAATCAGATAAAATATGCACTTTAAAAAACCTACAAATTACATTTCAAGCCTCATACATGTAACTGTTTTGTAACTGGTTTTAATAAACTTAAGGAAATGCCTACTATGAATAGACTGAAGAAATACTTTAATGATATACTAAAATGACACAAACATTATAACAACAGGTATGAATACTGAACTACTCAGTGCTATTTCACTATGACATACCCCAGTTTGGGAATCCTTTTCGCCATCCCAGTTATACCAGCAATGATGTTACTGTGTGAAATCATGACTCCCTTTGGAAGTCCTGTGGATCCACTGGTATACATGATTACTGCAATATCTGAGGGCAATGGTTTGCAATAAGATCTGTTTTCTGTATTGAAGGAAAAGAAAAAATGCATACTTTTAAGAAATTCAGCCACATCAAGTTTTTTCATAATCATTTATTTGTTAACACAATTACTCATACAGTGGCCAACATATAAAGGACATAAATTCTATTGGGACAGACAGGTTAGGTCCATAAAGAAAATAAAGACAAGGTGAAAAAATGACAGTAGATGCTATTTAGATGGATAGGTCAGAGAAAGCCTCTCTGTAGAGTTATTTTAGGGAATACCTGAATAAAGTGAGGAAGAGAGCCATGAAAACCTGGAATTGGGAAGACAAAAATCCAAGTAGAGGTAAATAAGCAAGTACAAAGGCTCTCAGGTAGGAATATGTATGGAATGGAATGAGCAAGAGGAAGAATGGCAGAAATTATGGTGAAGGAACATCCAGGACTCCACAGGCCTCAGAGGGCCAGGCTAAGGACTTTGGATTTCTTTCTCAAACAGAAATCAACATGTTTTAAACATAGCTATCATCAACTGTGACAAAGAGAACTATACTGCCGTGTGGCTACCTAAATTTAGAAAAGATAGAAAGGAATTAAGGAGACAAAAGGCTATTCTAGTAATTCAACTAAGAAACAGAATAGGGTATCTGGATATTTGCTAAAAAATGTTCTCTGTTTCACAGAGGTGAAATTCACTTGGTTACACTCAAGAACTTCCTAACATACAGACTTCAAGGGAAAAAAAAACTCTTTTCAACAGGTTCCCAAGAGAATGACCACCTGTCTCTCCAGTCACTACTTCTGCATCTGGCATTCACTCCTTCGGCTCACAGCATAATTATCTGCCACCATATCAAAACACTGCCCTTTCTAAGATGACATTTGCTAACTCTGATGATGGTCCTTGTCTCTGAACTTCAGAGGAAATAGTCCAAATATCCCAAGAGACTTTGCAACATCTCAAAACAATTGTAAATTCTCTAATTTTTTTAATGCTTATTTGACAATCCTAACTTCTAGATTTACCATTCCTAATTGGGCTTATCATTGGAGGAAAATATCTGACCCCTCTAGAAGGTTACAGTTGGAGCAGGAAGTAAAAGGAGGAGTTCTAGGATTAGCCATCTGTTAATAACAGTGATTCACATGGGCAAACGGCATCATGGCATCACTTTATAAAATTAACTATAAACTCTCCAAAACTATCAGAAAAAGGAAACAAGAAAAATGAATGATGTAAGGGAAAAAGTTTTAAAATTCATTTCAATTAAGTACTATTTTCAGAATACCAATAAATTAATGTTGATGTTGGTGCTTTCCTTAAACTTTTCTTTTCAAAGGCAAGATGAAAAGTATTTCTAGAAGAGCCCACCTTCCCCAACTATGCCTAGACAAATGTGATTTTTGATCTAACCTGAGAATCAAATCTTTGGAGTAATTCTGGAGAACATGGTGATTGGAGACTGCACATAAGGAATGAGGGAAATGTGACATACCCATGCTGCCCTTTGCTCCAAGAGCCTGCACTGCAGCCATGGTGTGCACGATGACACCCTTGGGGAACTCGGACCAGGTCGGTGGCTTCCCATCAACAGTGATGATGTGCCGCAGGCGTGGGATCAAAGAAACTATATCCTGGAAAAACACATTCACCACATTCCTATTCAAACAGTTCAGGATCCAATAAAAGAAGTTTACTATATTCAGTGACTTATTAATTTCTTGCCTCAAAAAAAGCAAGAGGGAGACGTGCACTAGCTAAAGATCTGTTTTTAGATCAATAAATACTGGTCTAACTCACTACTGCATTGTACTAGATTTACAGTGTGTACCCTGTTCTTGGGTCAAATCCTAATCAACAAAGTTACTGCCTAACAAAATGGGCAGGTAAATACAAGGTAAAGTTTGCAGAGGCAAAGCCAGAAAGGAGAAGGGTGCAGGAAGGAGCTATAAGGAGAGGGTGTAGGAGGAGGAGGGGGATTTCTCTTGTAAATTTATTTTAAAAGAATATCCCAGATGTTGCTCTTTTTAGAGGAAGCTATCTAGAAACTAAAGATAGCCTTTTCCTATTTTATTAAGAATCTCCCTTTTGGGCAGATTTCTCCTAGAAATCATCATTACTCAGTGATTTAAACTCAGTGAATTACTGATTTTAAATATAGCCCTTCAAAATAACAAATTTATTTAAAATACACTAGAAAATAAAGGAGTATTATACAAGAAAAAGTTGTAGCCTCTTCAATTTAGATATAGGCCTATTAGCAATTTGTAACTCGAGTCTATCTGAATATATATGAAATCTAAGTTTTCTATTTCAAAGGAAAGGAATAAAATCTGATATTTTAAAAGCTTGCAAAAATATTAAAAATGTTAAAAAGATCAAAAAAGAACTAAGTTATCAATAATAAGGTTCATCATAGTAAAAATTTTGAAGTAAATTAACTACAATCCTCACCTTCAACTTTGTTTGTAAGAGCTCTTTACTAGTGATAATATTGGTCACCTCTGTTTCATTTAATCCATGAACAATGGCTGGACCTCCTAGGGTAGCATATAATGTAACAACTACAAGGAAAAGAAACACAAGTCAGATATTCAAAACACCTCATGAACTACCAAATGCAAACAGCATCCCTGGAAATGGATGTGAGTCACAAAGGAGCTTTCTGAACACTAGATTATTAAATAAATAAGTCCATGAGAAATGGTGTTATGTTTCCTAAAATTATTTTGAAGTATTAATCAAATTTTTATTTTTGTTTTGTTTCACCTACAGATATTACAATAACATGGATTTTTTTTTTACTTTCTGCCTAACTGAAAAACGTGAGACATAAAATGACTTCGAAAATAATTCTTTTAAAGCTTCTTAAAATAAACAATGCAAATCCAAACCTGTGAAAACAAAAAGACAATGCTTATTTAAAGAAAAATTGGAAGATTTTACAGCAAGAAATCTGGTGAAAAGTTTTTGTTCTGTTTCATCTGAAAGATGAAAGATTTCTGAACTAAGCTTCCAGGACCATCTCACAGATTGACCCATCATAGTTGCTGTCCAAATAACAACAATATTAAAATTACCAATCATTCCATTAAGCACCCTGAAGTCCACCAGTTTCAGCATGGACATGTTTTAGAGGTCAACTGTTGCTACTGACCGAAGTGGCATTAATGAGATGCCAGTAACTTCAACAGGGGCTCCTCAGAGAGGGCAGCAGAGCAATAAGCCCTAGGTACAGATGTAGTTCCCTAGACCCAGAAAGTCTCCTATTAATAGGTCCAAGTAGGGCTGGGAATGTGTCTCAGATGTAAGAGCATTTGGTTGGCACATGTAAGACATGGATGCAATTCCCAGCACCATACACCCACCCCCACAAAGAATCAAGTCCCCTTACTACATTTGACAGGTACAATTTACTCCACAACTGATTCCTTTTCCAAGAGACCAAAATATCCAAATCCTAACAAAGAGTTCTCCACTGATTGGATACAAGAATGTTAACCTTTTAATTTTAAAAAAAATCACCTCTCCCAAATTACAAAAGTTCACTCTTTCAGAAAATAAGAAAGCTTACTTACGCTGAAAATTATACATAAAACACGCCTGTGCAGCAATCATCCACTCGGCCCTGGTCTCACAGAAGATGGCGATATTGGTCTTTGCTTTCTGACCCAACATCTGTAAGCCATTTCCAAAATTAAAGGCTCGGACAAAGACATCTTCATAGGACAGCCAATTATAATTTCCCAGAATAACCTAATAAACATCAAAAAAAGATACAAATAGCTTTTAATATAAACAAAATATTATTTACAGACAGAAGTCAGAATGTTTCAAATTTAATAACTAGCATATTACATCTGCATAAAACATTTTGCCCAATAAAAAGCTAGAAATTGAGTTTCAAGTGAAAATCTATTTTAAAAATCAGCTATTTTGTGATATCTTCTAGAACAACTCAAATCCTATTCTAAATCTTTAACTGTGACAGAATTTTTTTTAAAATAGGGGAGTACTTTTTGTTTTCAAAAATATCCAGTTTGATGGAATTTTATAGGTCAATTTCTTGGCCATCTACTAATAATTCACTTGCAGATTTCCTTTACTTAAATGATTTAGCTGTTAATTTAATGTCCGGCCTGGTACTAAGTACTACTAATGCCAAAATTTGACTTTCTTTCCCTTAGGAACATCTTTATTTCAATACTAAATGATACAACATGACCCTTAAATAGAAATTGGTCCTGCTCCCCCAAAGTAATAGAAATATTTATGGCTGTTCAATTTGAATTGCTATATACAGAATAAATAAGTCTTGATTCCAGCCTTTCATCCGTGTTTATAGCATGAGTGCAGGTAATAATGAAGTTTGAGTTAGAAATAATGTCCTTTAAAGCTAGTTAACATATTTTTGTCTTTAGGAATTTTCTTTAGACAAGACCATAAATTCCCCTTCACAAGTAAAGACTGAATAAAAAGCCCACTCTGCAGAAGCATGCTAGCTCCGAAACACAGCTTTAGTAATGTGCATCTAAACACCTTCAAAAACATCTGACTATATTCATTTTTTAAAATGCAAAAAATAGTCAGAAATTTCCAGACAAGATGGGATGAAGACAAAAAGGACAAATGCTGCCCTCTAGTGTCCTATTTAAAGATAGTTTTAATAAATAAAATTTTTATTTTGATGAATAAAGTAATTGTACCTAAGATGGTACTTACTTAACTGTAATGGTCCCAAACTCTCACCCTGCTTTGCACCCCTATGAAATGCTCAGCACAGGGAGCTCCAATGACTTCAAAAGGAGCTCTGCAGGTGTGAGAAGACAGTTGAGAATTGGGCCAAAATGCGCAAAAACTGCATTATAATTATTAAGAATTGTATAATCCGAAATATAAGACTGAGTGACTTTTCAAAAGAGTCCAGAATCTAAATGACAAGCTTTCTAAATTTCAAAGAATATGTGTGTTCTGAAAAGGTATTAGATATATAATTAAAATATGTAAACTCATGTGATTTCACCATGTGGCAAAGAAATCAAATCAAATTTAATTCAAGGGTTTCCTTATATATAGAAAACATAAGTTAAAATCTTTGCAGATTTTGGGGTGGGGATGTGGCTCAAGGGGTAGCGCGCTCGCCTGGCATGCGTGTGGCCTGGGTTCGATCCTCAGCACCACATACACACAAAGATGTGTCTGCCGAAAACTAAAAAAAAAAAATCTTTGCAGATTTAAATATAAAATGAATTCTTTAAACCACTGAGTCTTCTAGTAATTATATTTCTCATAAAGATTTCATTAAGATAACAATATTCACTCCTTAATTTTATCTGACTTGCTCTGAAAATTTTCTAATCCTAACTCTGTACTGTTGTCCCTATGGTTAGCCCAATCCTAGACTAAACTCATTAAGTTATTCTGCCTTTGTTGTTAAATACTGCTGCAGGGAAAAAAAAATCACCTTATTAAATGTAGCACACAGATCTCTGCAGCTCACAATCATATTATTTATTCTACCCTAGTATATTCATTTTCTCACCCTCTGAAATATCTTTGAAACCTTCTGTTTACTTCCTCCCTTTCATACATCCATCTGGTCACCCGGTCTCATATTTCACTGAGCAATTAAACAGAAATTCCCTAAGCTTCCTATCATTAAATTTAATAACCTACATTGATCTGTACTTAGACTCTGTAGTCCACATGGCTGAGTATTCCTGTCAAAAGCCAGATTCTGAAGAGCTTACTTCAAAGTCTTCAGAATTTTCATTTCTAGTCCAGACCCTTAACTTGGATACCCATTTTTTTTTTTTACATTCAAGTAGGCTATCTAACAGTCCTACAAAACTCAGCAAGTTTTGAAAAAGAAAAAAAAAAAAATTCTCATTCATTGTCCTCCCCGTTCTTTCTCTTGGTCATTCCTGTCAGTATTGTACCATCCCCTCAACTGCTCAACACAAAAATTAGGAGACACTCTCCATGACATTTATCTTCACAACTCATTTCTAAATCCACCTATAAGTTCTACCAACTCAATCTACAAAGTATGCTCAGAATCTAGTCATTTCTTTCCACCTCCATCCCTGTCATCCTGGTCCATCTTTCCCCTGAACTCCTACCAATTGGTCAAACTGCCCTCATTCTTTTTCCCTTCAATCCACTTAAATGAGGTCACTCCCCTGTTTAACATTCTGCAGGTTTCCCCTTCCAGCAGCACTAGAGAAGAAACCAAACACCTTACCCTGGCCTAACAAGCAGTAGGGGATCTAGAAGTGACATGCCTCTCTGTATTCCTCTCAAATCCTCTTCCCTGACTACTTCCTATTAATTCACTTTGTCTTCTCTATTCTTCAGACTAGCTAGGCTAGGGCAAGACAGGTATGTAGGGCACTCAGAATCTAAATGCTTTCTTAAATTCTACACCCCAAAGACAGACCTCATTCAACTGAGTAGTGCCTCTGAGACACTACTCTACTCTATCCCACTACAAAGAACTTTCTTTACCCATATCTTTGAAAAGTTGGTTCTTTCTTGTTATTCAGGCCTCAGCTGAATCATAACATACTAAGATGGGATGGTTTTCCTTGATCACCAATCCTCTTTATTTTTTTCACAAAAGATCACATTTCTGTTATCTTATTGTCTCTTTTCCTCCCATGCAAATGTTAAGATCCAGAGAAGAGTAACCACCATAACCTGTTCACTATTGTTAGAGGCCCTCAACAATTATTTGATAAATATGGAATGGATGGTATAATTAAGTACAACTTCATTTTGAGCCCAAGGAAGTCTATCTGTCTCCCCTCTGGCTGGCTGCCTCACTTTTTAAGACTGATTAAAAAAAAAAAAAAGCCATGCCCATCTGAACATTTAACTACCACAGTTCTGTTGTGATCAACAATCACATACATTCTCTGCCTGTCACTTCTTAAATATTCTTACCTGTGCCCCAATACATGATGTAAACATGGTCAACTTTCCTCACAGCATGGTTATCTGAATGACTTGACAGGGAATCTTTGAGCAATTATGTCATCAAAACTTAGGGAGGGGATTAAGATGACTCCAAAGATCACTTTCCTCTCTCACACTTGTCTATATTCCTATTTTATGAAAGGTATAACATACATTTATAACATCAATGTTATCATTCTGACTATAACTTCCTGGAATACATCAACTCAGTAATTTAGTTTTGTTCAGGAACCTATAGTCTTAGATGCTCTGACCATAGTCACTTACTTTAAAAGAAAACTATAAAAATACAATGGTGACAACATAGAGAACATACTATAAGATAAAAGCACACAAATATGTAACCATTCAGGACTCAGAAGGATGAGACAGTCTAGTGAGGATCAAGCTTTCAGACAGCTGAGTCAAACCTTTTTATTAAGTACTAGGTCTTTTCTTCCTTTCACTATTTGGGAAAGAACTATTCAAAAATTGTACTTTTTCCGGGGGTTAGGGTTGTGGCTCAGTGATAAAGCACTTGCCTGGCATGGGTGAGGCAGTATTCTGTCCATCTACAACTTATCAAGAAAGTCCATCTAGCTTCATTTAGCTTCTATGCACTCTAAATAATTAAAGATCTTGCTTGAGCAACTTGGTATACCCAATGTGCCTTTCATAAATAAAATGGCAAGAAAAAGAACAAGTTTCAAAGGGAAAACCAAGAAGAGACAGATATAATACCAAACCACAGATCCTGGCCAAGATACCCATTACTTTTTACATGAATTATGATGTTAAAGTTCTTACAAATCGGGAAGTAAATATCACATACATACACATTAAAGGGTAAAAAAAAATGACTGGAGGAAGAGGCAACACAAAGGAAGGCACTGAGGAAAAGAAAGTGAGGTCAATTTACAAGGACAGAAATAAGTGTTTCTATTATCTTTTTGGATCAATTTATAAGGAATGTCAGTAAAGTCTTCTGTGAGCACTATGATTATATAATCCTCTAATATGTAACAAATACACAAGAAAAAAATTAAAAGTATTTCAGATATTTAGCTCAAAAAATATCTGAACCAGACGTGTGGTCTTTTCCATTTCTGATATGTTCATTTTTTGCAACTCTTTTCTATTCAGGTTCACATGCATTTTTAAAGTTGCTCTGAAATCCAATCTTCCACAGTTCTTCATTTCAACAAAACATTATTGCTACTGGGACAGTGAGAATCAGGTGATACACACATACACACACACACACACACACACACACACACACACCTGCCAAGATGTTTATCTTGCTATATAGTTTTATAAAACATAGAGCTTGGAAGAATGGGCAAATAGTCATGAAAAGGCTCACCAAGCCTCAAAATCATAGCAGAATTTGCTCTGTGCCTTTGTTTCTCAGATGGTGCAAAACAAAGCTATGAAATTCACAAATGGGAATATAGCTCAGTGGTAGAGTGCTAGCCTCGCATGCATGAGACCCTGGGTTGGATTCCTACCATCGCAAAAAAATAAATAAATAAAATAAAATCATTATTTTGAAATAAGGTTTGTAAGGGTATGGTATACAATATTTATAGCTTTGCTTTACCATATCAGATACATCCCAGCTTAAACAAGCCCTAAAAGTGTTGTCTCCCAAAGCCTTCAAGTATGGTAATCATTTTAATGAAAATATTTCATCAAAAGTATATCTTCTAACCCTCCTGCTGAGCTATCTTTGTTTTGATCGGTGGCAGGGTGGCAGGGTAGCAGGCACGATGGACAGAAGTCAGGATACTTAATACCCTGTCATGACAAAGGCTGTTACAACCACAATACAATGGGTTTAACGAGAAACCATGGGCCAGGGAAGCCCAGAATGTTTAACATGCAGCTGAGATACCCACCTCCTCTCCTGTGTGCCACAAGGCAACACAGGGCCAAGAGAAATGCAAGGCTTAGCTAACTGGTGGCCAAGCACACTTTCTTCTCCAGGAAGACCAAAAGAAAAGATCTGCTTCATTTATTACACACAAAACCTAAAAATTAATTCAATTTCCCAATGAACTTGATTTCAGACAAGAAAAATATTCCATTTTTTTAGTCAGTCTATATACAACTTTTTGAAGAGTTTGAGGCAAATACTAACAATAGGTGAATCTTCTTGACATAAGGAAACTTAAAAACTTCCTATACTGAATAGAGCCTCATAATATTGTACTACAGACAGAAAAGACTGCTGATTAAAAACAGTATGTCTCGCTGTCTAACCTTTTTTATTTTAGTACAAAAACTTCCTGCTTTGTGGAATCTATGCATACAGCAGGGTCAAATTACCTAACCCATCTCTGCCTCAATGCTATAATCTGAAGAGACATTAATATTAATTCTTAGGGTCATTTAAACTCTAGAAAGTTGATGAATGTAAAGATCTCAAAACAGCTTGGCTCACAAAAAATAACAACAAATGTGATGATCATTATCTCCATATTAAAGATAAAAGAACTGAGGCAAATTTGACTTTTCCAAAGTCACAGACCAGTAAGAGGCAAAGATAAAATTCAAATCTACAGTCTGAATCTGGATTCCAGGCTTTCCCCCCGCCCCCTGGGAATTGAACCCAGGGGCACCACTATGCTACATCCCCAGCCCGTTTTGGGGGTTTTGTTTTTGTTTTTAATTTTGTGAGAGGGTCTTGAGTTTCCAAGGCCAGCTTGGAACTTGCAATCCTCTTGCTTTGGCTTCCTGGTCACTGGGATTACAGGCAGGATTCCAAGCTCTTAATAACTATGTTTCTCTAACTCTGGGGACAGCTTGTTCTGTGTTTCAAATCAATAATGGCAGGTTCCTCTATAGTTATAAAAAGATATTTTTTAAACCATGCAATTGCCATAATCAAAGTATTAAGACATTATGTACCCACAGCAACCCACATGAAAATCAGAAACAGAAGGTCCACACCCAAAACATGGAGGCATCTCAAGTACCCAGGTGCTTCTGGAAACCAGGGAATACAGTTTCATAGCCAAAACTACATGACATTCTATTCTAAGCCCTGTGAGATAATCAGATTCAAAAAAGCCCCAGAGCAGGGGGCATTCTAAATATCTTTCTGAAAATTGCAGAATAAATTAGGCTTGTGAGGTTCAGAGAGATGAAAACATAGTCTAGTCCCCTTTCTCCTCCAACATCAGCAAATTCCAGCAGGAGAAGGCTATACTTGTCACTTGTCCCTTGCCACCACTTCTAAAGTACACTGTATTCAGAGGGAAGTCAAAAGCAATGAAATATTACCTTACCTTTTTAAAAAGTTTTCCATTTGGTTGTATTTCATCTTCCTCGTTTAATATTTCACGTGTTCCCAAGAGTCTTTTGTCCTTAAATTTGTTTTTTGCATACATAAAAATTTTATCTAGTGTATCACATCCAGGGTACAATACTGAAACCAAACCATCTAAACTATTAATAGCTCTGTATGCAGACTCAGGGTTTGAATTTACAGGTTTTGCTTTAATTTGGTTTGATTTCTCTTGTCTTGACTCAGATAAAAAATAAAATGGAATATATGTTATAATAGTATAAAGTAATATTATAAAATGTATGAAATACAAAAGAATGGGATTGATAGTCTGTTTTAGCTTCATGGTAGATGATTTTGAAGACACGTGGTTATTCATAAGTGTTCAAGAAGTAGAATTAACAGGTTTCAACAAGAATCTAGAAGGAAGGAAAATACATTAGTTTGAAATTATTTTAAAATAACTTTAACGAACAGTTCTTCATATTAGTCAAGCAAACAAACTTTCCCAATCAGGCAGGAATTAATATTCTGTCCCCTACCAATATCCTGAAGCTTCTAATAGTCTCATTTGTACCAAATTCAGTAACAATGAAATTAGAGAAGTTTCCACATCACACTGTAAACTGGTGGCCTTTCCAACCTAACCCTTCCCAGTAGTTAAGTAGGGAGCAAGCCAGAAAGGGGTGGGGGACCAAAAATTTACTCATTTCCTGTCCTTTAGCATCCCACTACATTAAAGATGGTAAATATTGTGCATAAATGCCACATTCTTCTCTTTCATGACTCAAGCAGAAGCCATTACTAAATAATCCCTGCACTCTTACCCTGTGAACACCATTCTCACTCTAGCAAGTACTGGAGTTGGCAAACATGTAAAATTCATTTTTCACAGTACTTCTAAATATCTGCCAACTGAGGCAGTAAAATGAAGCAACAAGGCGATAAACTGTGATCATTTTATACTCTTCATTCATCAAATTTATTGAAACTTTACTGTGTTAGATACTGTTCTAGGATGTGAGCTGCTCTAGCTGCAACATCTGTCACCCTACTGATCACCAGGTTGATTCGGCTCATCTGGCTGATTAGGTGGGTATCCCTTCCCTCCTCACTGCTGCACCTGTGTCCCTCCTGAAGCTGCACGCTCAGTCAAAGAGGATGAAGAGGACAAACTTCCCCAATGAAGGAGGGCTGTTCTTCAATCAAGGGTACAGGAGGAGCTGTGCTTCCCTGATAGAACCTCCAAACAGGCTCTCAAGACACTATTCTAAATATGGGTAATACAATGGTGAACAAAACAGACAAAGTCCCTGCTCTTAAGAGACCCACACTTTTACTGGGAGAGGTAGACAAGCAAATGCATACATGTGTATGTACACATGCCCAATGGTATTAAATGCTATTAGGAAAAAATAAACCCAAGTAAGTGAAAGATAAAATGATGGCGACAATGTTGTAAAGGTAATTTGTATGGAAACTTAGGGAAAGCTTCCCTGGCTCTAAACAGAGACTCAGAAGGAAAAGAGTGTTCCATGTGCCTATGTGGAGATGAAGAGTGCCCTAGGCAGAGGAAATACCATTGTGTGGTACATGGGGAATAATGTCATTCTTGAAAAAAACTGAAGCAAACTACTAACTCGTTGTCTGCCCTGATCCAAATTCTGGACTATGAGTTCACCTCAGCTCCATGTTACAAAAATTCTATTCCAGCAAAGTGTAGTCAAGAGATCTGAGGAATCCCTTCTTTAACCCAATCTCCACTTATAAGACAAGAGTTCTATCCCAGGTGCAGCAGGACAAGAACGGTGAGTACAGATTATTATTTTTTAAGTGCATCATGGAGATTTTATATATATATATATATATATATATATATATATATATATATATAAAATCAGTAGGGTTCATTTTAACATATGAATCAATACACATAACATAGTTCTGTCCATTTCAGTCCTTAGTACTACCCCATTTCCTCCCATCTTCCCTCCCTCTGATCCCCTTCCTCTATTCTATTTATTTTTAATGGATGCAGTTATATATAAAATTGAAATGCATTGTGGTATATTCATACATGCACCTAGCTTAGTTTGATCAACTTCATTCCCCAGTTCTTCCCCTCCTTCTTCCCCCTCCCTCCTTCTTCCCCCTCCCTCCTTCTTGGTTCCCTTCTTCTACTCTACTGATCTCCCTTCTATTTTCACAAGATCCATTTTGTTCCTTACTTTCTAACTTCAACACATGAAGAAATTATATTTGACTCTCTGAGTCTGGCTTATTTCACTTAGCATGATGCACTCCAGTTCTAACCATTTAACAGTAAATAAAAATTTCATTGTTCTTTATGGATGAGCAAACTCCATTGTGTATATATACCATATTTTCTTTATCCATTCATCTACTGATGCACACCTAGGCTGGTTCCATAATTTGGCTATCGTTGACTGTGTTGCTACAAACAATGGCATGCATGTATTACAACAGTGTGCTGATTTTAGTTCTTTAGGATAAATACCACGGAGTGGAATAGCTGGGTAATATGGTGGTTCTGTTCCTAATCTTTTGAAGGATCCCTATACTGCTTTCAGAAATGATTTTAGTTCGCTTTTAAGGCAGAGGTTCCAGGCAGGTAGAGAAACTCCAAACTGACATCAGTACCTAAATCCATGGCCTAGCACACCACTCATAAGCAGAGAAGAAAAACCAAGCCACTGCCCCAGCCTCCATATCAATGGCATAAAGGTTCTGCACAGGCCAGAGACACAGGCAGCAAGAACAGAAAACTCCTTAGTAATTTCTAAGATTGACTTTATGTGGAACAGAAAATGGAGTAGTTCATGTCTGATGGCACTGTCAAAAATTACAAAGACTTTGGTGGTGAGCAATTAACACGAGGTTGATGGCAACATGAAAGCATTTAAGTAAAAGAATAAGCCAATCAAATTTTTAACAGAAAACCAGGAAGAACCCTCTAAGGTTCCTGAAAAACCCAAAAGACCAGCCTCTGGTACAACCCCTATGAAAAGGCATGTATTTTAAGGAGCTATTTATGGCCCAGAGCTCTGTCCAAAATGATTATTTTTTTAATTACCCAACAATTAATTAGTAAAGAATAACTGCTGGTTGTGATACCAACAGAGACAGAATACTTACAAACTTAACAAGGAAAGCAGAGAAAGAGACAGTTAAAGTGAACTCTGCTAAAACTGCTGTCACCACTTGAAAAGGGAAGACTGTGTTCGGGCCCAAGAATGTGCCCTCAGAGGAGCAGTATCAGTATACTATGCAAGAAAGAAAAAGCTCAGTGAACTAGTTTAACCAAGTCACTAAGCAAACAAACACCACAATAGCAAGAAGTCCTGGAAGAAAAGGGAGATCACTAATCAGAGTTGTTATACAATACCATCTAAAATGTCCAGTTTACAACACAAAATTATGAGGCATGCAAACAAATAGCAAATATGACACATATAAAATGGAAGCAAGCAGGCAGAAGTTGTCCCTGAGAAGACCCAGATGTCAGACTTAATTTAAAAGAGATTAAAGCATGAATACGTTCAAGGAAATAAAGAAAACTATGCTTTAAAAATTAAAAATCCAATTCTCTTACAAGATAAGAAACACCTCCAAATTTGCTCATGCACAACCTGGGAGAAGCTAGGACTCCAAATGGGGCCCAGGTTCTGTTCACCCTCCCAGGCTGTTTTCTTAGACAACATATTGTATAATATTTTGAAGACCAGTCCAAAGAATATGGATCATTGCCATAAAGGTCATGGAGAGACAATGAAGGTCTCCATTCAGGAAAATGGCACATAAAACAAATGGTCTTGCTATTTTGAGGACATCAGAGTAACAAAAAAAAAAAAAAAAAAAAAAAAAAAGTACACTAATAACCAGGAGAATGATATTATTTAACTAAGTACTCTGAAATTTATTTTCTGTATTTTTATTGGTGCATCATAATTATACCTAATGGGGGGATTTGTTGTTACATATTCATACATACACAAAAATTTGGCCAATATTATTCCCCAGTATTTCCCCGTTCCTTCCCTTCCACCCTTCCCCTAGTCCCTTTCTTCTACTCTATTGATCTCCCTTTGACTTTCATGAGATTCCACCACCACCACCTTTCTTGTCCTCTATCCTCTCTAGCTTCCACATGAGAATAAAACATATGACCTTTGACGTTCTGACTTATTGCACTTAAAATAACATTCTCAAGCTCCATCCATTTTCCTGCAAATGGCCTAATTTCATTCTTCTTTGTGGCTGAATAAAATTCCATTTTATATTACACACCACATTTTCTTTATCCATTCATCCATTGATGAGCACCTAGTCTGGTTACATAGTTTGGCTGTTGTGAATTGTGCTACTATAAACATGGGAATATATGTATCACTGTAGTATGATGACTTTAATTCTTCAGGATAAATACTGAGGACTGGTACAGCTGGATCATATGTAGTTCCATTCCTAGTCTTTTGAGGAACCTACATACTCATTTCCTTAGTAGATGTACTAATTTTATCCTACCAACAAATGTTCCTTTTTCTCCACATCATTTCCAACATTTATATTTTTTATATTCTTAATAGCAGCCATTCTAACTGGAATAAGACGAAATCTCAGTGTAATTTTGATTTGAAGTTCCCTAATTGTTAAAGATGTTGAACTTTTTGTCTATGTTTGTTGATCACTTGTATTTCTTCTTTGAGAAAGAAATACAAATCAGTTTAGTTCATTTGCCCATTTATTACTTAGGTTGTCTGTTTGGGATTTTGTTTTGTTTTTTGAGTTCTTTATATGCCCTAGATATCAATCCTGTCAGAAGAGTAGCTGACAAATATTTTCTCCCATTCTTAGCTGTTTCCTTTGTTGTATAGAAGCTTTTCAATTTGATGTCATCCTACTTATTAATTCTGGGCATTATTTCCTGAGCTTTAGATGTTGCCTGTGCCTATATATTGGGAGTGCTAACCCTACATTTTCTTTAGGAATTGAATAGTTTCTCTCTAATTCCTAGGTTTTTGATCCATTTTTTTTAGTTGATTTTTGTGCAAGGTAAGAGATAAGGATCTAGTCTCATCATTGTACATGTTTCCAACGTCATTTATTTAAAAGGTTGTCTTTTCTCCAATGTATGTTTTGGGCACCTCTGTCAAGGATCAGATGACTACGTGTGTGGGTTTGTCTCTGCCTTCTGTTGTGTAGCTTGGTCTATGTGTCTATTTTATGTTACTATAGCTCCATAGTATATAATTTGAAGTCAGGTATTATGATGCTTTGAGCATTGCTTTTTTGGCTTAGAACTGCTTTGGCTATTCAGGGTCTTTTATTCTTCCAAATTAATTTAGGACTGTTTTTTCCAGTTCTGTGAAGAATGTCATTGGCATTGTGATGAGGACTG